CCCCCCCCCCCCCAGCTCCTTTTTCTTCCCACATCCCTCCATCTCCCCTTTCTGGTTCTCCCTGACCCCCTTTTCCTGTCCTGATGCCTGGCCTCTTCTCCAGGCGGACTGAGACAGTACAGAAGCTGTGCCCAGGAGGGCAGCTCCCATTCCTGCTGTATGGCACCGAAGTGCACACAGACACCAACAAGATTGAGGAGTTTCTGGAGGCCGTGCTGTGCCCTCCCAGGTATAAGGGCACTTGGAAAGGAGGGAGTGGGTAACTGGGAGACTCTAGGAAAAAGAGGTGTTGAAGAAATGGAAAATGGGAATGGTGATGGGCTAGAGCAGGGGAGCTGAGGCTCCTTCCCGGAAGATATCTTATCCTGTTTCTTCCATTGGCTTTCAGGTACCCCAAGTTGGCAGCTCTGAACCCTGAATCCAACACGGCTGGGCTGGACATATTTGCCAAATTTTCTGCTTACATCAAGAATTCCAACCCAGCACTCAATGACAGTGAGTTTCAAGGGTTGGAGGCCAGGGTCCTAGGAGTAATGGAGAAGATCTATGGATTGGGAAACATTAGGAGCACCTGGAAATTCAGCTGTCAGGGAGATGGAGCAGATGTTGGCAAACCTTCACTGCCTCTCGCCCCAGCCACCTTACTTTTACTTAAGCCCCATATTTCTTTGTATTTATGATGGCTGTGACTTTAAGCTTCTCTCATTTCTTACCTAGTCTCTCCAGCCCCACTGGGGACATTAGTTGGGTTAGCTGCTGGTCTGTTTTCTGGCAGAATAGGTTGTGCTTAAGAACAGTAACTCTAGATCCAGACTACCTGAGTACAAACACTACTAGCTGTGTGACTTTGAGCAATTCATTTAATTTCTCTGTAAATCCATTTCCAGATCTATAAAATGAGGATAGCAATACCTATTTCATGGGTTGATGTGAGAATTAGATGAGTTGTTGTGTGTAAAGTGCTTAGAATAACACATGGAAAACTACGTTCGTGTTAGGTATTATTCTCTTGGACTGGCCTCACCATTAGTATTCATTCACCCTCCACTCCCTAGGTCCTCCTGGACTATGTTGATCTTTTGATGTTCTTACCAATTCCCCTTTCTTGCACAGATCTGGAGAAGGGGCTCCTGAAAGCCCTGAAAGTTTTAGACAATTACTTGACATCCCCTCTCCCCGAAGAAGTGGATGAGACCAGTGCTGAGGATGAGGGTATCTCTCAGAGGAAGTTTCTGGATGGCAATGAGCTCACTCTGGCTGACTGCAACCTGTTGCCAAAGCTCCACATAGTGCAGGTGGGTGGTCATTGTAGGTGTAGAAGGTGGCCGCTGGATGGCTCTTTAAGAAGCTCCCACACAGGTTTCCCATGACAACCACTCCTAAGGTGGTTTCTTTCTTGGGATGGTTTCTGTGGATTGCTACCAATAGCAGATACTACCCCATTCCTTCTCGGCAGCCATTGCTGCAGACCAGGGCTTGAGAGAATTACATTCCGTGACATAGGCTGTGGGTGCAGCAGATTGGCCGAGAGTAACATATCCCAGTATTGCTATCAAGAGTGTTCTTCCTATCTCTGTCACTGCCAAATCCCCAGATAAGACAAAGCAGGCTTTTCCTAAAATCAGAGCTTTAACTCTTTTTATAGCATCAGTCTCTACTTCCTCTTGTGATGAAAGATGAAAACTGCCGGTTCCCATGTTTTTGTCTTAGCCTCAAAGCTATGGTTTAGTTTGTGAAACATGGGCCTAATGTCAGTCTGCTACAGACCTCTGTATTGAAAACTGTGTACTGGACGCTGAAAGACACAAAGATGTACAATGATTGGTTCTTGCTCTCAAAGGATTTGAAATCTAGCTGGGAAGATAAAACATTCACATGAAAGTGAATTAATAATACATGATAAAAGGGGCGCCTGGGTGGCGCAGTCGGTTAAGCGTCCGACTTCAGCCAGGTCACGATCTCGCGGTCCGTGAGTTCGAGCCCCGCGTCAGGCTCTGGGCTGATGGCTCAGAGCCTGGAGCCTGTTTCCGATTCTGTGTCTCCCTCTCTCTCTGCCCCTCCCCCATTCATGCTCTGTCTCTCTCTGTCCCAAAAATAAATAAAAACGTTGAAAAAAAAATTAAAAAAAAAAATACATGATAAAAGCCAAATGAAAAATAGGGACAAAAGTTATTGTGGAAATTCAAGAGGAGAATTTTATGATTTGTGAATTATATCTCAATATAATCAAGGAGTGAAGTGGCACCATGGAATGGGGTGGTCTGAAAAGGAACAGGTTATAAATGACCAGGATTTCAGTAAATGGAGAGGAAGGGTGAAGACAGTAGGAGAAAGCGAGGCGTTAGAAAGCCCATTGGAGAAAATGATTCATATGGGAGATAAGAATTACAGGAAGAGAAGCCAGATAGTAGAGGTTCTTGAATGCCTGGACAGGAAGGCTAGATTTTATCATGTAAGCCTTGGGAGAAGGGAAAGACCAAGAGCCATTGTGGCTTCCCCTGAGGCTAACATGTTGGTCCCTCTCCTCTCTGCACCCCCAGGTGGTATGTAAGAAGTACAGGGGATTCTCCATCCCAGAGGTGTTCCGCGGAGTGCATCGATACTTGCGCAATGCCTATGCTCGGGAAGAGTTTGCCTCCACCTGTCCAGATGATGAGGAGATCGAGCTGGCTTACGAGCAAGTGGCCAAGGCCCTCAAATAAGCCCCTCCTGGGGCTCTGTGCCCCCCCTCTATTTTCTCCACAAAGGCACCAGGTGGTTTCCACGTGGCTACCCAATGGACACACTCCAAAATGGCCAGTGGGCAGAGAATCCTGGAGCACTTGTGTAGGGCTGACTGGGGGGCTGAGGGGAAAGATGGGGAATCTAGGTAAGATTTTTATTGTGTGGGGGTGTGGGTAGGACAATGTATTTCAGTAATAAAATACAGAATGAAAATGTAGTGTCGTTTTGCACAAAGGGGGCTGCAGTGTGGGTAACACAGAATGAAAGGTGGGTTAGTGACCTTGAGCTCAGGGCAGAAGCCAGGAATTTAGAAGAGGGGTATTTGTGGTCAGGCTTCCATTTTTCGTGCCGGTCCACCATAACGGTGTCTTGCGGTCCATGTCGCATTTGCTGCCCAGCCGACAGGGCCCTCCATATCTGGGTGGGCCCGGGCAGCACTCACGGGGCGGGGCCGAGTTCGCAGAAAGGGAGCGCAGTCCCTGTGGAGCGGGCGCGGCGTAGCAGGGCGGAATGGGCGTGGCCTCGAGGAGCCCCGCCCCGTCCCGCTTAGACAATGCCCCGGAGCCGCCAGACAGTCGCGCCCCCGCCCCACCGTAGTTCTTGAGCTCGCCTTACCCAGGGACCCCTCAAAAGCCAAGAGCTCCAGTCCCCGAGGCTTGAAGACTAGGACTCCCTTCTCCAACCAACTCTGTCCTCAGGGGGGTGGGGCCCCAGCCAAGAACACAAGAGCGCTGGAGTCTGGGTGGCCACTAGAGGTAAGTCTAGGGGTTGGAGATGTCCCCCGGACCGTGTGCGGGCCAGAGTTTGAGGTTGCCGGGCCCGTGCCCGATACCCGACAGGGTGCAGGAGGCCGAAATTTGGGTGCGGAGCTGAGCTGGGTAGACTTTGGGGGAGATGGACGGGGAGACGGTCCTGGAGCCGGGAGTGGTGCCCGCTCCCTGGGACCACGCCCCCGGTTTCCCCGCCCCTTGGATTTCGTTTTAGACCTCTCCCAGTCCTCCGGGACTCGGTCTGGTTTCTACTGGGTCGTGCTAGGGGTAGCAGGACCGGCAGGGGTGGAGAGAAGATATTTAACTCCTTAGGCTCTAATTCCTCCCTCGTTACCCCTCTCTCCCTTTCTTGTTGGGCATTCAGGACTTCCATCTCCCAGGCCCTGACCATCTTCCCAGCTGTCTCCTCCTGTCCCATAACCCCTTTGGGTCCCTTGCCTCACTTCGGGTCCCTATGGCAGCGAGCAGCTGAGGGTTAAGGGGGCGGGACCGTTGCATTTTTAGGGAGTGAGCGCATCCTAGCGGCTGCCAAGAGGGGCGCCTAGCAGGGACCTCGCGAAGCCCCCGAACAGGGGCAACAGGTGTTTTAGAGATTAGGGGTCCCGGTCTTGTTCCTCGGACTCCCTCCAAAGAAGCAGACCCCGAAGGGTGCGGGGTGGAATGGAGTTGGCGGGAGGGGAACGTCTGGAGGGGGTGGGGCGAAGTGGGAGGGGCGCCCGGAGATGGCAGAAGGAAGACCCGGGCGCTCTTAACCACCCCCTACGCCCTTCTGTGCATGTCTTTCTTTGCCCTCCTCCCTTTCTGTCTCTTCTCCCAGACAGGTGAAGTAAAAAGAGAAAACTAAGAAATCAGCGCGGCCGGAGGGGGAGACTGTGTGGATGGGATGGGGACGCCGGGGGAGGGGCTGGGCCGCTGCTCCCATGCCCTGATCCGGGGGGTCCCAGAGAGCCTGGCTTCGGGGGAGGGTGCGGGAGCTGGCCTCCCGGCTCTGGACCTGGCTAAAGCCCAGAGGGAGCACGGAGTACTGGGGGGTAAACTGAGGCAGCGATTGGGGCTGCAGCTGCTAGAACTGCCTCCTGAAGAGTCGCTGCCGCTGGGACCGCTTCTCGGTGACACAGCCGTGATCCAAGGGGACACGGCCCTAATCACGCGACCCTGGAGCCCCGCCCGCAGGCCGGAGGTGAGCGCCAGGGTGCGGGTGGGTAAGAGGAGAGGGGTAGCTGGCCGTACGGGGTTTTAAGAATTGCAGGTGGGAATGTCTCTGCCCCGCGCCCTCTTTTCCTGCCCTAAGGTCGATGGAGTCCGCAAAGCCCTTCAGGACCTTGGGCTCCGGATCGTGGAGATGGGAGATGAGAACGCGACGCTGGATGGCACTGATGTTCTCTTTACCGGTGAGGCTGAGGTGCCTGCATTCCTGGGCTTTGCACTGGGAAGCAGAGTTGAGACTGGGCCATGTCGGGCCTTGTTTCCAACTCACTCTCGCTCTTAAACCCCCGGGGCCTCCCTGGGCTCAGGCCGGGAGTTTTTCGTAGGCCTCTCCAAGTGGACCAATCACCGAGGAGCTGAGATCGTGGCGGACACGTTTCGGGTGAGGAGCAGGACCAGCTTCGTGCTGGGGGAGCCAGGAGCTGATGGGGTAGGAAGGGCGCGGGGTGGGGCGCGGCGTAGGGAGGAGCCAAAAGCAGCTTGTGTTTTAGGGAATCCTCTCACTCCTCCCACTTCCCTGAATTCTTTCCCTTGTTGCCCCTAGGACTTCGCTGTCTCCACAGTGCCAGTCTCCAGCCCCTCCCACCTGCGCGGCCTCTGCGGCATGGGGGGACCCCGCACTGTGGTAGCGGGTAGCAGCGAAGCCGCCCAAAAGGCTGTCAAGGTGAGAGGCGGGGCAGGGGTGGGGCAGGTTGGGGTTCGGCCACAAAAGTGGGTGTGGCTCCCGGCCCCAGAGGCTGAAAGCAGGGAGGTTCAGAGAATTAACTCCAAACCCTGCCCTCATGGGGCGGACTATCTAGTGTGAAAACCTGTGAGAAAGCAAGTTGTTATACTAGCAGGACAAGGACAGGGAACACAGCAGATTCACATCATCTTCCCGAGTTTCAAGTAACTCCCAAAAGATGGCAACTAAGTTATGACTTGAAGGATGCATGAAATTAACTGGGAGGGGCTGGAGAGGGGGAGAAGAGGGTTGGAGGTAGAAAGAAGTGCATGTGAGTATGAGGTGGAACAGAGGTAACTAAATCACTTAGAACACTGCCTGACACATACTAAGGGCTAAGTGCTTGCTAGCATTATTATACAGCAAATGTAACTGTGTCCTCAGCCCTCTGAGCTTCAGCACTTCCTCTTTCCTCTCCCTCAGGCGATGGCAGTGTTGACGGACCACCCCTATGCGTCCCTGACGCTCCCAGATGACGCAGCTGCTGACTGTCTCTTTCTGCGTCCTGGGTTGCCTGGTGTGCCCCCTTTCCTCCTGCACCGTGGAGGCGGGGACCTGCCTAATAGCCAGGAGGTGAGGGAAGGCAGCAGCTCCACCACTGCCACCAACCAGAGAAAGGGGTCTCAGGCCTTCTTAGTGGGAGGAAGAAGGGGTACCGTCTCTGGAAGCATGGGTGGTGCCACCCTGAGCTGGCTAGAAGAAGGGCCTGGCTGTGGCCTCAGGATCTTACTCCCCTCTCCTCACTTTATATCCTCCCTGCAGGCACTGCAGAAGCTCTCTGATGTCACGCTGGTACCTGTGTCCTGCTCAGAACTGGAGAAGGCAGGCGCTGGGCTCAGCTCCCTCTGCCTGGTGCTCAGCACACGCCCCCACAGCTGAGGGCCTGGCCTTGGGGTCCTGGCTGGCCTGGGGTAGGGCAGCATAGGGATTAGAAGGGGAAGGAGGCTTAGATAGAGGACAGGGAATAGGTAGTAGTGGGGAGAGGGCCCCAAGATTGGGGGGGGGGAGGGCTTAGTGTGGGAAAAAGGATAGAGTCCACTGGGTGAACCATCTTCCTCAGAGATAATAAACAGAACCGACCTTTTAGACTGGGTTGTGGCTTGTGTCTTATTGGGGCAGAGGGGTAGGGGCAGGGCTGAAATCTGGGGTTAGTGCTGGGAAGGAGGCCTCCTTCATTCATCAAACCCTCATTAGGCACTTACTGACTCATTGCCCAGCCCCATCATAGGTGTTTGGGCACAAGATGGACAGGATAGAATTTCTATTGTGGGCAGCACATATGAGGGAGAGAAGAAAGAGTATGGGTGGATCACTCAATTTATCCAAATGTCAGATGATTCAGAAACTGGTAGATTACCAACCCACTCCTAGATGATAGGAAGAAGTGACACTTCCAGGGACATTCATTTTCATTCACTCATTTACTGAGGCTTAGCAGTAAAATTAAAAAGGGTCGGTCTCCTGATATCAGGGAATTCACAGTACATGAAATTGAAATACAGGTTGTGATGGAACAATTCACAGGATGTTGTTGCTATGAGATAAATAAGGAGACTGCCTAAGGCATCAAGATGTACGCAGAGGTAGGCAAAGAGGGTCAGGAATGGCTTCCCAGGAAAGGCTACATTTCAACTGAGGATAAAGAAGAATTAGCCAGGAAGGTGGTGGGGAGGAGGAGGAAGAGTGATCCAGGAAGAAGGACTTGCATTGCGCAAAGGCATATTTGGAGACTGAGGAGAATCTCTCCAAGGCTGGCACGTTGTGTGCATGTGGAGTGACAGGGACAAGCCTGGAGAGTAGGCAGAGTGCTGCAGCACCTTGTACCCAAAGCTAAGGCCCATGGCTCCAGAGCTGAAGGTTACGGAAAGAAATACTGCAGTTCTGGAATATAGGCCATGAGGAGTAGGTTACTATTTGGGGAGGACCCCTCTGGCTTGAGGGAGGAAGACAAGGGCAAGAGGATGAGGTGGGGCTATGGGTGACCAGGGAAGAAATGAGAGTACATTCGGGTGGTAGCCCTGGGCATGAAGAAGGGTAGGATTTCACAGTGACACTAAAATAGGACTTGGTTCATTGTGTGGGAGTGAGCGGAAGAAGGTCTGCATGACTCCCAGTTTCTGGCTTAGGCAACTGGGTTGATCAACAGAGAATTCAGAGAAGTATTAAGTGACAATGAGTTGGGTTTTGGATATGCCGTGTGCAAAATGCCTACGGCCAACCAGACAGAGATGTCTCAGGGATAGCTGGGAGATCCCATTCCCAGAAATGTGAGCTGGAGAGAGTTCTGAGTTGTTTGCAGAGGTGAGGGCTGAGAACTGGCTGCGGATGGCAGATTCCCAAAGAGAGGGAAGTCCGATAAAGAAAGGACAAACCTAGAATGGTGGGGAATACCATGGTGGTAGGGAGCAAGGAAAAAGAGTCCAAAAGGAAGACACCAGCATTAAAGAAAAACAGAGCTTAAAGAAGGGCGTGATCAAAGACCAAGCCAGATGAATACTAAAAAATCTACTGGGTGTGGCCATCAGGACCTCACTGGCAACCTCATGGAGAGCAGATGAGCAGTGGGGATGGAGCAAAGGAGAAGAAAATATGGGTGTAGGCCCCTGGTTCAGAGAGCTGGACTGTGGAGGGAAGGGAAGAGTAGGACAACTATCTAGGAGTTGTTGATGTCTTAAGATAGGGAGACAGGGCTTGATCAGGTTTAGAAAGAGCACCAGTGGTGAAGGAGACAAGAAAGTTATGAGATGGGGTAGCTGAAGGAGCAAGATCAGTGGCAGAGATAGCCCGGAACCCAGGGCTCCTGATTCTCGGGCTAGTGCTCGATTCTATCCCATGGTGGATTCCTTTTCCAAGTGAGGAGCCAAGGAGGGGCCGAAAGTTGTGGAAAGCTGAGAAGCCCCAGCTTGCGAGGTTCGAGGTTTGGAATAAGGACTTCCCTTCAAACTACAACCGCATAGATGGTGGAGGCATCAGCAGGGACCACTGGGGTTAACCGGAGGGGCCTTCTGAGGGCCAGATGATCCAGGTCTGCATAGAGCAGGCTCTGAAAGGTGGGCAGGAAAGCAGAAGGGTCTCAGAGATCTGACTCCCTGGGGGACACAGGCTTTTCCTCGGGGATTCTGGCCAGCCCTCTTCCAATCCCCAGGCCCTTACCGGCTCCTGGTCCAGGTCCCCTGTGATCTTAGGCTCCTCCTCCTTTGCTGGCCTCTGGGTCTCGACTTTCACCAGTGGATCTATATGGGGGGGACAGAGCTGAAGAATTGAGAGAAAGTGACCAACTTGTCTGCTCCCAGGAAGGGCTCAGACTCAGGAGTTGAGAGATGGGAAGTGTGGGAGCAGTAGAAGGAAAATGAGGTGGAATTAGTCTCACCAAATCTGGGCAGTGGTTGAGGCGGGGGCGGGGGTGATCGCCTGTAACGGATGTGTAGGAGTCTTTGAGTGCCATCAGTTTTGTCTCTCGTTCTCCTCGGGACCAACAGCAACGCAGCAACTCGGAAGGGTCAGACCCACAAACAATTTGGGCTCCACTCCCACCGATAATTCCGCCCATGCTCTGATCCTCCTCCAGCTCTAGCTTCACCTTCCAAGCCAGGGCTCCACACACCAGTCTGTGGCCTCGGCCCAAGTTGTGACCTCCCCCATTTTTTTCTAAACCACATGCCCCAGCTCTAGATCTAGCTAAAGTCTGCGAAGGTTCTAGTCCTGCCCTTCCCGCCTCAAGCCCCTCCCATTGTGCTCACCTGCGCCACCACCAGACCACGCCCAACGCCCCGAGTCCCAGCACTAGTCCAGCGCCCAGCAGTGGGATCAGGAGCTGGGGATACATGGACCCTGGGGAAACGGAGGAGGGGATGGCGGTGGATGCCGAGGTCAGGGGTGCGAGAACAGAGAACTAGCTCTCCAGGTCAAGAACGTCCAGCCAAGGCCTCTCTCCCTCCCCAGGGTCTGTGTTCGAGTTAAGCCCCCGTGCGCAAAGACCTGGACCTACCGTGGGCAGGCCCCGGAGCCCTGCAGTCAGCCCCGTCCCCTAGCACATGCAGCACAGTACGGCTCTCCTCCTCGCGGCGGCCCCTGCAGAAAAAGGTGCCTGAGTCCCCCGCGCTCAGGAGCAGCTCCAGCCGCCGGATACTAGGGTCCAGG